TGATGATGATGATGATGATGATGATGATGATGATGATGATGATGATGATGATGATGATGATGATGATGATGATGGAAGTGGTGGTGCAGAAGAATTCACAGAGTTATTCGGCGGCAGAGAGGACGAGGATGACGCGGGCGGGGGGGGATGAAGTTTGGTGCAGTTCGAGAGGTACAGTTGATCCGAAGATGTCCAATAAGGCCGATTCGAGCCCGGAATGTCCGCTTATATCGAGGACACGTTGGAAGCAGTTGTGCGGCAGCGTTGCTGACTGGGCGCAGTTGGGATTTGCGGGCTTCGCGTTTCGCTTTGGCGGCGGCGATGCGGTTGGCTTCGTGGATAGCAGCGCCCGTCTTCACTGTTCTCCTCCATGCCGGACGATCGCAGGCGAGCTCTTCCCAGTTGCTCGGGTTGATTTGCAGTAGCTTCAGGGAGGACTTCAGGGTATCCTTGTATCGACGAATTGGGCCTCCTTGACGACGAGAACCCGTCGCGACGTCTCCGTAGAAGAGTCGTTTGGGTAGCCGCTCGTCGTCCATGCGCACAAGGCGGCCGCTCCAGCGCAGCTGCATTTGTCTCAACATGGAGTAGATGCTGAGCATTCCCGTTCGTTCCAGCACATCAGTGTCGGGGATGCGATCCTGCCAGTTCAGCCGCAGGATGCGACGAAGACAACTGAGGTGGAAGTGGTTCAGACGGCGTGCCTGCCTCGTGTACACCGTCCAGGTCTCTGCTCCGTACAGTAGCGTCGACAGGATAACGGCCTTGTACATCTTCAGCTTCGTGTTCAGTTGAAGACCGTGACGATTCCAAACTGTGCTTTGGAGACGACCGAAGGCTTGACTGGCTTTCGAGATCCTGTTGGCGACTTCGTCATCAATCGTGGTGGTGCGGGAGAGAGTACTGCCCAGGTACGGGAAGTTCTCCACCACTTGCAGTAGGGTCCCATTCACGTTGATTTGCGGCGACGCGTTGGGGGCTGTGGCTGGATAATCACCTGTTAAAGGGCAGCCAGAACTCCCCAAGCCCGATGACGTATCGGGTCCTTTCAATTCACCACAGCAGCTGGCAGCGACGCTCGGATCAGCAAGTAGGCAGTGAACGCCACTTTGGCGGGTGATGAAGGCAAAGAGAGTAGACTTCTGGTTGCAACTCTGGACAGCAATCAGTTCATTGGCGGTGGTGGCGTTGGTTCGCGAGTTGACGGTGACGTGGACAACTAATCGGCCCGTAGCGGCTTCAAAGACGCAAGCAGAATTTTTCCTAAGCCAATGCACGGCCGCAAGTAAGCATGGATAGGTCGATTTCGCTGCGGGGTCAGGAAACACTAGGCGAAGATCAGTGTCCTCTTGCTCCACGCTCTCCTCTCCCTCCAGTACCACTGTGGCAGACTCCGCGTAGACCCACTGGTCGACGTTTTTTGGCTCGTCATTGCCCAGAGTGACTTAAAAGAGACAGGGCATCTGACTCCGCATCAAAGGAGCGCAAAAGGAGGTGCAGAGCGGGCGCGG